TTTTTAAACATCTTTTTTTAGGGGAATTATTAATGTAAATTTATTTTACATTTATGTTTATTGATTAATTGAATTAATGTTAGGTAACATTGGCTATGTGACCCCCCTTGTTGTATTAATTAGATAAACTTAGAAAAATAAGAATTATGCTAAGTAATTTTAAGCCATAGACTTAAGAACTATTGTTAGATAATAAGTTATTAAATAACTATGTGTAGAGATCGGATGGAAAAAATAAACTTGAAACTTGCGGGGTGTGTTGAATTTCCCATAGGCGGTCTGCGTAGTTTTTTTCTACTATTGCCTAATACTATTGCAAATACTTTGTGGATCTTGGTTTCTTAATAAAATATTGAAATCTGAGCCGATTTCAATATAATTTTACAATTCTTTTTTTTGTGCCAAATCCCGTCACTCATTCCTAATTTCATTGGAATCGGACATACATATCGCGTTTCATGCATAAAATGTGTGAAATCGGCCGAAAATATGTATGGGATATACATCCAAATATGGACCGATATCAATATAATTTGCCAAACATATTTTTGTACCAAGTTTCATCACATGTTCCAAATTTCACTGAATTTGGGGATACATAACGTGTTTGGTGAAATTAATACACGAAATTGGCCGAAAATATATATGGGAGCTATGTCTGAACTAATTTCAATATAATTTGGCAAATTTATTTTTGTAGCAAATTTCGTCACACATTCCAAATTTTATTGGAATCGGCCGATAATATATAGGGGAGCTATATCCAAATCTGAACCGATATCAATAAAAATTTGGAAATTTATTTTTGTTCCAAACATATTCCAAGGAACTATATCCAAATCTAAACGGATTTCAAACGTACGAACATTTTCTTCTTTTAAAAATATATATGTGTTTTTAACTTTCTATTCTACAAGGGCCTTGACAAAGGAATATGAAAGATTAATGCATGCCTGGAGCGGGCGATTTTAATTCTGGAGCTTCTTAAAATTAAATATATTTTGGATATAGACGAGAAAAATCATCAACTTCATAAACTTGATAAGTCTTGCACATGCGTACAGCCGAAGAGCCATCGACAGTAAATTTTGCAAAAGCAATGATATAATATATAAACACGTCATTGTTTGTACTTTGTATGACGATGCGGCGATTTGGAGGTTTTTGAAGTAGCTGACATCAAATAAATGTCAAAACAGCGCAAAATTTTACTTCCACGGAAAGAATTTTTCTCGAGAGATGATTGCTCCAAGCATGTATAATTGAGGACAACAATTTGTGCATACATCTTTTCCGTACCGTGCAAAATTTGAAATGCTTTTGTTTTTTATAAAAATTAAGCTGTTTAAATCAACAATATAGTCGGGTTCCTCAAACAAGAAAGAATTACTGAATTATTCGAAGACTGTTTCAGGGAACACTTTCAAGATTTAGCTGCATATTTCCTTTCACTTCGATATACATAGAATATATATTTTGCTATATATACGATATCTTGGATATCAGCATCGATGTAACGCTAAGAACTTACCTTTTCGTGTATTTGTGATTTCGCAGTGGTCAAAAAATATTTGCGGATTAATTTCGTATTTTTAACATTTTAGCCGCTAAATATAATCCGATGACCATTCACATTGGTAGACTTCTGCAGCTTCCTTAACTCTAGATTGTGAACTTATTGAAAATTGCGAATAATTTTCCTTTGATTCTCCTCGCATATGGTCTAAGTTTTCCTGTAGCCCTCATATAAACTTATATCCCAAATATTCGGTATTATGATGGATGTCATACAAGCCTGTGTCACATGATAGGCAGAAGTTCTTCACATTGCTATCCATCCGGGCCTAAAACGTACGGTACTCACTTTATATTAATCCATGACTGCTAATACCGCGTCAAAGTGAGAGCATTTTCAATTTCAATTTCGTGAGGATCGAGACATAATTGCGACCTGTAATGTCATTACAAATTAACACGGGCAGACGGACGGACATACATAGTTAGATCGACTCAGCTCTGCGAGATAGGAAGATCCATATATGTACATGCAATTTGACAGCAAAGTAATTAGCCAGTTGAAATTTCTTCGTAACCTGGGAGGGAGCCTCCGCTTCTACCAAACTTAGATCAGGTGTAAAAACTAGAAAAATAGGTCCACACTTTTGGTACCTCCTTACCTTTGTAAGAATATTTTGAATATTCGTGAATATCGCACATTGGATGTCTATCAAATCCACTTTTTCTAAACAAAAAGTAACCATTTTCGCACAATTCACAAAACGGAGGTTATTTTGGTAAAAATTTTAAAAATAGTTTCAAACATATTGGTCCTGGACCTATTATGCCTATAGGCCCCGGAACAACAATATTTGCGTGAAAAGCAATAATAACCAGTAAAGAAGGTCAAAAGTTTGGCGGACCTACTATATAATACCCTACACCCCTATGAATGTTTTGTTAATCTACCCGTAACAAATAAACGTTTATATTGGTTTGTATTTATATGAAGTAGATCATACCAACTAATTATTAGTTGTAAATCGATCTCGAACATATAAATAAGATGTATCTTATATGTTGTACCAATTATCATTGTTATGGATTCCATATTACGGATTTGATGGATTCAAATATCAAATCGGATAAAACAGATATAGATATATCTGAATTGATTTTCAATGAATTTGACACACTGATTTCTAAGCTGACTTCGGTTGTCCGCCTGACTCATTTGGTGCACACAAAAAATCGGATAAAGATATGTATGGGAGTTATATTGAAATCTGAAACGATGTAGACGGCATTTGTTATTTCTAAGCTATGTTAGATATCTTATATCGATAATATTTATTATGGATTCCGTATTACGGTTAGGAAGGACTTAAAATTCAAATCGATTCTATGAAGTTAATCAAAATAATATTGATCCAGTTCCTGCTCTTTGAGAGCTAAATGAATGACCCTTAATTTGGATGTTAGAATGCTAACGCATCTAATAGTTGGCATATCTTGAAAGATTTGTATTATAAGATATCACCCGACTACAGCCTTTGCTGACTTGTTTTGTATGGCAATTGACAAAAACACACGAGCTTTGATTAAAATTTAACGTAAATGCGCTATGACGCCAGGGAATCCCTAGACGGACTGGGCGTACACAGTTAGGAAATTCTCGCATTTATCGATGAGATCCTACAGAGCGGTTCCAGACTAACTGACCTCCCTGACCTCGCCCTCACAGACGAGGGCCTGAATAAGACTATTATTACAGACAAGCCAACGAAGGATGACCTTAGTCAGATGGTAATTGAGAAGGAACGTAAGGACAACCAATTTGGGAATGTCTCAAATCCAGCGTGTCCTATATCGGCAGCAGTCGATAAATCGATATATGATAACATAAATAACAGCATTTATTATATGTTACAGAACAGGCGGATTTACCCCTTTTGTTAAGGTATTTTTATGTATTTCTACGTCTATATGGTCTATGTCGTAAATACGTATTGACCAATTTTGACCGGAATTACAATATCCGATTAATTAAAAACGTCAAGGGAATAACATTTGTTTGTATTAACCTATCTCTGACATGAGCATCTCTACATACAGGGTGAGATAAAAAACTTCAACAAATTCAAACGGCATAATTTTTACATTTTTTTTTTTTTAATTTTATTGAATGAAAGCAAAAAATTTCGGAAATAGCAAAAAATTATAGAAAAAGTTTAGATTTGTGCAAATCGGTCACCTTTGGTACGAAGCATGGCCTTCAGACGGCCAATGAAACCGTCACACGCTGCCAAATGTTGCTCTGCGGTATTCTGACCCATTCCCGGCGAAGCGCTTGTTCGAGGTGATCGACACTTTGGTATTTTTAGTGCCAACCTTGCTTTCCAAAATACTCCAGACATAATAGTCCAACTGAGTGGTATTGGAAGATTTTGGTGGCCACTGTGCACTGGATATGAAGCGATGAACCTCATTTTGTAACCATTTTTGGGTGGCGCGTGTTGAGGCCTTTTGGAATGTCCAAGGTCTGCGGCCAAAGTGTTTGCGTTCCCAAGGCTTTAATACACCCTCCAGAATATTTGACAATAATATTCGGCATTTATTCTGATGCCACTGTCGACTATTAAGAGCGGAGAGCGATCGGTCGTTTTTTTTTTTTTTTTTTTTTTTTTTGGTGGCCAACCGATGGTTCACATTTTCAGCTGACCTTTGTGGCAAGTTTGTTTGTTTACAAACTGCTGGACATCGATTGTTTTCTCATCGGAGTTCAGTTCACCACTTTAAAACCAAGTGAAGGAACTCTTTAGCTTTTTTGAGTCTATTTTCTTTCTGTTACGGTGGAAGTTCTTGCACTTTTTGGAATTTCAATGGCTTTGCCCGAGCTCATTTTTCAATATTTCCCAAATGGAATATTGCGATATGTTTAACTCACGAGCCATTTTTCGACCACTGCGACGCGGGTCTCGATCAAGTCGCTTCTTTTCCCTTTGAACCATTTCTGCTGATGTTGCTGTTTTGTTCCGTCCACTTCCTTGACGTCGGGCTACGAGACAAAAAAGACTTATTCACATTTAAATGCTGGAGTGCTCTATCGATAGCCACTTGTGGTTTTCCAGCCAAATATAAAGAAATCACACTATCACGATTCAATTTCATAACGAATAACTATTTTTTCTGGAAAATTCTCACCAAAATGCTTTTATACGCTTTTAAACAATGTAATGAGCTGTCACTGTATCAATTTAAACAGCCGTCGGACGAGTGGCTCAGAAATGACAGCAGTCTGAAGTTGGCTTCAGTTTTTTTTAATCTCACCCTGTATGCTGTTTATAAACAATGTTTTAAAAATGTTTTTTGTCTAGTCTTTACATTTATATGTCTTTAAACATGAGTGACATATTCAAACTTTTTCATTTACAAAAACTGGTCATTTGTATTCTCATTTGAACTGCATAAAGTAATAATTTTAATGCATACAATGGACATACCGGAGGCAATTTTGAAAAGCATTTTAAACCAGTCATCAATGACACCAAGCGTTTCCTTTCTGCAGTGGTGCGCAATTTTTCATCTGTTCGTATTAATGATTTCTCCTGTAAGAATATATAATTATTAATATAATTCATTTCGTAATTGAATAACCAAAATTAAGTCTAAAACCCAATAAGGGAAAGACAATTGTAGAATGGGTTGCTTTTGTTAACCCCACAACAATTCAACCATATCACTAATCCCTATACCCTATTTATATAACTTGATATAAAAAATATTTTTTAGAACATCAAAGATCCTGAATTGCAATTATTTTATGTATGCGTTAGATTTCATTTATGTTATGCACCAAACACGATATGTATGTCCGATTCCAATGAAATTCAGAATGTGTGGCTGAATTTGGTTACAATAATTAATTTGACAAATTAATCAGAAATAGGTTTGGATGTAGCGCCCAACCGATTTCACATATTTTATTCACCAAACACGAAACACCAAATATGGAAGGTGTGACCGATGGAAGGTGTGACCAATTGCAACAGAAATGCAAACTCAACCTCAAAAGATTGCAGTTTCCTGCACTCTTGCAATTTGCTATAAAATTAATAAATCCGAAGGACAAACCCTTCGTGTATGCGGACTAAATTTGGCATGCTCCTGCTTTTCTCATGGTCAGCTGTTCCTGGCATGTTCACTCGTTGGTAGACCGAGCGGTTTGTTTGTTTACGGTTTAAAGCATTAAATTTTCAATTTGGTTTATTTTTTTTAACAACCAAATATTCGTATATAAAATTTTGGATGCATATAAAATCAAAAGGGGTAGCGAAGCGCACCGGGTTCAGCTAGCTACTTATATCCAATATTCGAACGTGTTCCACTTTAAACTGCACGTACCAGAGAGTTCGTCTGGAGGATGCTATTAACATTCTCAAAGTGCTATAAAGACAATTTCCTACAAATGTTATCTTTTGGGTATCATAATGTGGGCAGTATACTAATTTTAACAGACAGACGGGCATGCTTTGGTTCAGATGGAGGTCCGCAGAATTGTATTGAAAATGCCCTATATTGGTCTACATTTCAGACCCCATATAACTGTATCCCCAATATTCGGTATTTTCATGATTTGTTTCGCATTTTTCACCGAAATTGTATCAAATTTGGAGTTCGTAATGGATACTATCTCCACTTTAAAATTTTACATTTACAGATCCACGCCTTCGTCTACGCCCATTGTGGAAAACCACAAGTGGCTATCGTTAGAGCACTCCAGCATTCGAATATGTCTCGTACCATCGCTCGTTACCGTGATACTGGTAGCGTAGCCCGATGTCAAGGAAGTGGACGGAAGAAAACAGCAACATCAGCAGGATGAAAATGAGGTTTCTCGCTTCATTTCAAGCGCACAATGGCCACCAATCCGTTGGACTGTCGTGTCTGGAGTATTTTGGAAAGCAAGATGGGCACTAAAAAATACCAAAGCGTCGACCACCTCAAGCTAGCACTTCGCCGGGAATGGGCCAAAATACTGCAGAGTAACATTTGGGCAGCGTGTGACGGTTTCATTGGCAGTTTGAAGCCCATGATTCGTGCCAAAGGTGACTAATTCGAACAAATCTAAACTTATTTTAATATTTGATGCTATTTCCGACATATTTTGCTTCCATTCAATAAAATTTACAAAAAATGCAAACATTATGGCGTTTGACTTTGTTGCCGTTTTTTTATCTCACCCCGTATTTAAAACGGCAACATGGCTATCTACACTTATATCTCGCCCAGTTTCACTTATATTTTCGCCCAAAAATCATATTGGAGAGTACATACATTGTAGATTGTATATCCAATTTTTGATTAAGTTATTTCTCCTTACCTCTAAATTCAGAAGACCAATTTTTTGCTTCGGACGTATCAACAATGCTATATTTTTCTTAACGTTGAGCGATAGCTTTTCCTCTCCGACATCAGTTAACCAAGAACGATTCAAAATTACGCAGCGCACAATTTTTCGAAACCGCTGTCGAGCAATTGCTCGTCTTTTGAGTTCCTCAGCATATCGATTTCTGTTCGATAATTGCATTGTAAATTAAATGAAAAATGTATATGAGAATTAGGAAATTATTTATAAGTTGACATTTTACGAAACAAAGTATATTTAATAAGGTATACGTGAAAATCTGTTTTCCTAAAGATAATTTACCCAGTCTATCTATATATAAAAGATATAAGAGACTTAAATTAACGCCCATAGGAAACGGCTGAAGCTACAATCTTGAAATTTTGCACGAGGGTCAGTCTTGGGAGTGTGATAAGTCTGGGTTTTTGGTCTCTAGGAGTGTGATAAGTCTGGGTTTTTGGAAATTCTTACTTAAAGGATACGAAAGGTACTGAAAATTGGACAAACCGAATGAGCCAGAATTAAAAAATTAGAAACTAGAGTCACTGATGGAGGAAAGATGTACCAAAGTGTTTTTAAGGTTACAAAAAGTACAAAAATGATACTAAACTTGTAAAATTGTACCATTAGGAATTATGTGAACAAATAGAGCTAAGGCTGCAAATACATAAAAAGCTTGAAGTCATGGCTAGGCATATTAATGTCAAATTATAAGGAAAAACGACGGCAGGATTTTAGTGCGGCTCTGTAATTCCTTTGTGAAATGTCACAAAATAGGCCGTGCCATGACTTCAAGCTTCTTATGTACTTAGCCCTTAACAAATTGAAAATTAGCATGAGAAGTAAGTTTGATATATAAAGTCAGTTTTTTGAAGTGTGCACTGAGTGTGCGAACTGTACTAAATGGTATTAAATTTGGAACAGTCTGGTTTAGAGTGAACGGAATAAATTTTTTTTGGTGACAGTAAATTTGAGATAAATAGGTCTTTTGGAAATGCACACTACTAGTGAACGAAAAGTGCTAAATAGTACTTTTTTGGTAATATTTGGTATCGGCTGAACATATGTTTACAATTTTTTGAAAATTATTAATTTGACGAAATCTCATGTCAAAATATTTATTTATAAATGTATTGTACATACACAAATCCGAGATGGGAACCTACCTTCTATGCAGTGAAATTTGACAAAGTAAATGACACTAGAGCCCATTTTCCCCAGTAAATTAAATTTCAGTGCATTTTGGTGATTCGATTTGCGTCGTTTTGAGTTCTGTCGCGATTCTCCGGTCCCCATTAACGACGCAAGTCGGGGCTCTAGTGTATTTGAAATGACTTTACCTTCTTGATTTTAAATTATTGTACCATGATTGAATGTATCTGTAAAAATTAATTCAGTACGAACATATTCTTGCAGGTCTGGAATAGACCAACTATATTAAAGTCATATGAAATGTGACGTTTTCATATTTTTCATTTTTATAGCATACTTTAAAGAACACGCAACAAACTAAAAGTAACTCCATATTACATCATCTACACACAATACATTATCATAAATTCGCTTGTAGTTTATGTATTCTATATGTTTAATACATTTTTTTAAATTTTAATATACCATAAAGGTTTCCATTTTGGACTAAAAATTCTGGTGATCTCCTAGAAGTATGCTATGAAAAAGTTACTTTACAAATTACTCTAAAATCATGTAAAATCTTCAAACGAACTTCCCAGGGGGCCTTTCATGATTTGAAAATACTATGTGAGCATTTGTTGGTAGAAAGCAATACAAACGTCACCTGAAAAAATCAAATATGAATCAAAGACAAAGAAAGCTTAAAAATGCACTTCTATCAAATGTTTTCATCCAACAGCCTTTACTTGCAATAACTAAAGGTGTAGGTATGTAGGCAGCTCGAAGTCTTCGCATGACATATACACTAGAGCCCCGACTTGCGTCGTTAATGGGGACCGGACGCAACTCAAAACGACTCAAATCGAATAACCTTTATATATACATACATATACAAAATGCACTGAAATTTAGTATACTAGGGAAAATATTCAAAACAAAGAAAAAAATTATATTTTTGATAAAAAAACAAGTATGAATACATTTTTTTTTATTCCATTTATTTCAAAAAAATGTTTATAATTATTATAAAGAAATTACAAAACAATAAATTAAGAAAAATATATCAAAAATTAAATTCATTAACATATGTATGTACATATAGCACCATAAAGAAAAGGAAAATTTCCTTATTTTACGCAATTTGAAAATTTGTTAACGAACAGGTGACGATCAGTGTTGCCAGAAGTTGTAAAAATGCTAAACAACAGAATATATGCCAATTTAGGCTCTGCAAATGCAAAAAAATAGTAATGCACAATGTAGCTCGGACCGACGCAACTTGAAATTGCAACGACGCAAATCGGGACGACGCAAGTTGGGGCTCTTGTGTATTGTGACATATGGTAAAGGGATGCCAAAGCCGCACTCGAACCCTGCGGTACTGTTTCTTATAATTTGAAATTAATATGCCTAGTCATGATGCCAAGCACACCTTAAGACCATAAAAAATATATATATGTTGATATTTAGGAATACATTTCATTCGTGCCACGTTAATTTATAAGGTACACCATACAAGTCACCTGAATACAATTTCTGCTTATCATAGTCTTGCAGTGTCAAAATATATGCACAGTTTTGTTGTGGCTGTATGCATGGCATAATTACAGAAGGTAGAACAAAGCTACCTCCCAAATACATTTTATACCCTCCACCATAGCATGGAGGAAATATTAAGTTTGTCATTCCATTTGTAACACCTCGAATATATACATTTTAGACCCCACAAAGTACATATATTCTTGATCAGCATAAGATTCTATGTCGATTTAGCTATGTCCGTCCGTCTATCCGTCAGTGGAAATCACTCTAGCTTTCGAATGAATTGAAGTAGATTGATCAAATTTTACTCAAATGTATATTATGTTTGCAGGACTTTTGGTATTGAAAATGGGACATGTAGGTCCTCGTTTTGGTATAGCTACCATATAGCGGTTCCTCCTGATTTTCGGTATTTTGATGATGATAATGTAGCTATAAACACCGATTTTTTTAAGTTTCGCATTTGAATATTGTAATGGCTTATGACAAGAGTTACCTTTGCAGGTCCATGTCGTCGTATATACCCTAATGTAAAAGCTTCATTCGGTATTTTTAAGATTTTAACAGACTTTTTAATGGATTTTATTGTTTTTGAGAATTGCCAAAGTCGTTCCAAAAGGTGGAGGGTATTTCAAGTTCGGCCCGGCTTACAAACTTACAGCTTTTTACTTGTTTTCTTTTGATGTCCCTATTCTGTTAAAACATATACACAGTTTGTATATATGTGTGTATTGTTTTGAATAAAAGAGATAATTATTTGAAATTATTTTAAATTTAGAGACAATAGAAATGCATATTTTTCACTTAACGGACAAATAAAATGTATAATTTTGAGATAAAATAATATTGTCCTGTCTTGGATTAAATTTTGTAGAGAAACTCCAAAATGTCATTCAAGTTTTGTAGGTTTTCCCCAATATAATAATTTTTTGAAGAAATGTTAAATAAACAAAACCAATTGTTGCTTGTTTAAAAAGTTAATTTGACACAATAAGACTCCGGTACAGAGTTACATTTTCCTAGTTTCCTTGAAGTTGAGCAACCTTTCTTATTGAACCATGCAACACCTGGCTTCGGAGTTGTGTCTTTCACAAAAAAGGAATTTTTGGAATATACCCAACTAAACCCAGTACAGAGTTTAATTTTCCTAGTTTCCTCGAAGTTGAGTAACCTTTTTTATTGAACCATGCAACACTCTGGCTTCGGAGTTGTGTCTTTCTAATTTGAATTAACAAATCAACTGCTTTTAATAATAATTCCTGATCATGATTTCGTTCTGTAGACTCAGTTTTCATCGTCCGTAATTTTATTAAAATTTCATGTATGTTGAAAATAAAATTGGCGCTTATATTGCTATTACATTCACACTTGCACTTGCCTTTTAATTATTATACCGTGGTGTCTTTTAAGCCTAAAAAGAATCAACTTTTGATTTTGGTTTGGTTTTTTACCTTTTAAATGACATAAGTTAGAAAAACAGTATGTCGGTAACACGGTTCACCTTTGTAATAATAAACTTTATAGATGTAACAACAGCAAATTGAAACGGCTTTACCTCTCTCTCTCTCTCTCTCTCTCTTTGTGGCCTTATACATACATAGACAAATGAAGATGAAGATATAGACAACGAAAGGTTAGTTTTGTCTTTTTATCCAGGTGGCTCTCATCATGTTTTGCATAGTCAACATGCCGATTTACGCGTACGCGTTCAACCTACTCGAATTCTCTTCGATCGTTCCCAACGCAAACACATTTTATCGTTTTTCAAGAATTTCACTTTATTTTTCCGGATTTTTTCGATTACGACGTTAGAATTGAGTTATTTCAATATTCTCACTCAAACTCCTGAAACGATATAGACGACATCTGCTGATTCAATTTTTTTCGAATATAAATGGTGAGAGCATTTCGTTGTCTATATTTTCATTTCTCTATGCCTTATGTCTTGTGTTAGTCCTAGTTCCTAAAAACTAACTACAACTGAACTAAAATTACACCAAAGGCGTACCATTATATATTTTACTGCATATTTGAAAATTCGGAGTCAACACAAAACTATGTAACAACGGCCAAAATATTATTTCTGTTTTAACACTAGGACATTGATTGTACGATCTTCCAATTTTTCGTTCGATTTATTTGAAATGTAAACCCTGTTGTGTAACAACGTACATGTAAAGAGGTCGAAAATCGAACACTGAATTCCTAACGTTCATTTCTGTATTATTTGTTTTTAGTTTGTTTTGGTTTTTGATTTTTTCTTTGGTCAATTCAAAATAAATTATTTACTTTTTTAACACAACAATTAAATACTAAGAAAGGGCCAAGTGTAACAAGATTTGTTTGATATGGAAAATGAATTACGGAAAGGAGAAAAAGATTCAATGGTAATATAAATATATTTGATTATTCAGTGAAAAACTTTCACTTTAATTTACTTCATTTTAGGAAAGCACACGTAGACATGATTCAACTACAATATCTTTGAAAGCGCTAATCGTATTTTTCGCAGCTTCTATACTTTCTTCAGTTATCATAGACTTTCTGCCAATACAACAAAATCCCTGGAAATGGGATACCACAAATACGAGCGCGCCCCAATATTGCACAGAGGAGAAAACGTACGCCATATATGCCAGAAGCAAGAGTGAGGATCACTTGATACACGTTGTTAATGTTTTGGAGAAATTGGGTTACACTCGTGTTAGTTTGGAGAAAAACTGGCAACTGTTATGGGCACATGACTATCCATTTTTAAAGATGAAGGAACGTATGAAACGTTTAGAAAACTATCAAATTGTGAATCATTTCCCGGGATGTGGATTTCTAACAAATAAGGTAGACTTATCGACGTCTGCACTGCTATTTCTTCCGCGTGCCTTTCGTCTCCCATCACAAAAAGATGAATTTCTGGAATATACCCGACTAAACCCATCAGCTCTTTTTGTTGAAAAACATAATGAACATCGTCACATTGTTATACGTTCGCCAGAGGAAATCAATCTAAACTCCACTACATCCTTTGTCCAGGAGTATATCCAAAACCCATATTTAGTTGATGGGTATAAATTCGATATGGGCGTCTATGTCGTTATCACATCCGTCAATCCATTGAGGATCTACATGTACAGTGGGGATGTTTTATTTCGATATTGTCCAGTTAAATATCATCCATTTGATGCTTCCAATATTGATAAATACATTGTTGGTGACGATTATTTGCCAACATGGCAAGTGCCTTCTCTGATCAAATATTATTCGCAATTCGGCGGCAGCATGAGAAGTGCATTCGATGCTTATGTGAGGGATCAGCAGATGGATCCAACAGGGATTTGGGTGCAAGTCGAAGATATAATACGCCGTACAATTTTAGAAAAAGAACGAGACATTGTGAATATTCTTCGGTCGTATAAAACGCGCAATTTTTTCGATTTGATGCGTTTTGATCTTATTGTTGATAAAAATTTGAAAGTCTATTTGATGGAAGCAAACATGTCTCCAAATCTTTCATCAGCGCACTTCAAGCCAAATTCAGTTCTTTATGAACAAATACTGTACAACGTTTTGAATTTGGTTGGTATTGGAACACCAATTAAAATGCCGGATGATTGCAGGTAAGTGGGCAATAAATATGCGTCAGAATGTTTCGAATTAGTTTTATACATACATTCAAAAAATAACTGATTTTAAATTTCAAACGAATATCATTTTTAATGATATTAACCAAATAACGGTAAAGAGAAATAAGATTTAATGTTAATTTTGAACGTTGCAGCCAACATCGATATTTCATATTTCATCTATATATTTATTTAAGATAAATATACAGTATGCATCTTCATATCAAAAAAAAAAAAAAAATTGACGTTTTGAAAGTCTTTCCTGACGAAAAAAAAATATCATTCATTTATGGAACAGTATTGGCCTGTTTGTTCGGGATACCATAGTATTTAATCCCATTATTGTTGCTTTTATAAAACACCGTTTGTTCATTAATGGAAAAAGATGGTAATGTTTGCCAGAAGTTAGGCAGGGAATACTTAAGTTTCGGAAAGAGCCACCATACCTAATCAGTTCCCTTGTTTTTGTCTGGGATTTTCTCCCCAGAAGTTATTTTACAAAAAACTCCTGTGACAAAAAAACTTTTTTATCCAAGTGACGTGATCGTAAGCGGAACCAAAGAATTACTTTGAACTAAAATTGTTTTTTTTTTAAATCTTCTAAATCTTACAACCGCACTTATAAACATTTTCATCTCTCTCCACTTGTTGCGCTATTGGTTTACATGAACAAAATAGCATAACCATGTAAGTTAGTTTTGTCTGTTACCACAAAGATCCCTTCGGCGACCGTGGCTTGTCTATTAATAGAACAGTGTTGACATGTTTGTTCGGGATACCATAGTATTTTGTTGTTGCAAAATAGTCAGGCCTAATCCCATTATTGTTGTCTTATCCTGCATAGGCTTTCTTATATTAAAATAATTTAATACAGCTTCGACAAAAATTCTTCATTCCAAAAAAATTCACTAGGAACTCAGTTTCGATTGTAACACATATTTGAATATTCCCATATAAATTACATATTTTCTCACAAATTGGTAATATCAGTCTTTGTTCCTTTCAAATCAACTTTCGTTTTGGAAAATTAAAAATGGAAAATCATGATCAAAATGATTGAGTGGGAGACAAGGATGATATACAATTTAATATAGATCAATTTATATCCAGATTTCTTATCCATAAATGTAATGATTACATGAACTTGGAATTCTCTTCTTTAGATTAAATGCTGTTAATGAAATTATAGCAACAGATCAGAGCCTGTCGACGAACCTCAATAAATGTGCATCACTAGCCTGCCATAGGTCTTGCAACAAACAAGGATGTGATCTGTGTTTGCCTTGCCTTACAGGAAGTGAGTATGATATGTTATATAGAGCACACATGGAACACCTTCATAGGGGTAACATGAGACGTCTGTTCCCCCCGTCATTTGTAAGTACACTTTCTACAGCTTGTCATAAATTGATTATTAAATATACATCATTTTAATTGCAGATTAGAGCTGATACAGTAAATATCAACGCAGAAATACAAAATATGACAAAACTCAATGCTTGGATGACACGATGGTTCTTCTACAAGTGCCTTTACGATGCCAGCTGGTGTCATTAGAATAATACGTTGCATTAAGATAACACGAGGTTGACCTTTGTGGAATGTAACGTTTTAATGGGACTTTGATGTAATCGTTACTTTTTGACAATAACTGGAATCTCTTTAAAATGAGTATTGTACATTGTTTTCATTCTAAACCTTTCACAGATATTATTACGCGAGTGAGATATTATTTATTTTTAATTGGCAAATCAAAGAACAACATTCCTCATTAATTGTTAATAAGTATATTATGTACATATATTATTAAAGCTGATTTTTTCATTAACTCGCCTTTACACGCCCTTGAATAAATTAAATAACAACCAAGTTCTGAGACCAGATCCTGTTGCGACTCTTCTGTCGTATATGCTTCTTTAAAATTCTGAAACAAAGATTGTTTTTACTTCAATATAATTCAAGTTCCTTTATAACTCACCTTAGTTTCACAATATTTCGTAACGCAACGCAGAACTTCAATTCTTACAATGATTTAAGGAATATAATAAAAAATTGAGTGTGAACATTGAATTGAAATAGGATGGCTGATTTAGTACAACAACTATTTTACTCAAGCTTATGTGTCGTATTAAATACTATGCATTTCGATTAGATTCCTCTATATCGAAGATCCTGCCAACGCGAAACTGACCAAAGACCTATGTTTGGCCTTTATTAACTTTTATCCAATCTTACGGTGGAGTTGTCCACTTTACTAAAATTGGAGAGAAGTATTCGATTTAAGTTTCAAGAGTATTCAATTTAAGTTTCAACAGTATTCGATTTAAGTGTCAACGTAACCGTTCAGGTCCTCACTTTGTCGCCGTCTGTGGGAACAAAAGCCGTATAGTTATTGCGAGTTAACCGGAGACCTTATTATTGAATAAGTATGGCTCCTAAACTAAGGCGATGTAGATTTTAGAACTCAAGTGATGTAGATCAATCTGCACTTATAGAGGGAATCGAATGGCAATCCTTCGCAAACAATACTCTCTATCGACTTTTTTTTGGAAGGCCCTTTCATCTTTATCGATGGCTTCCTTTATGAGGATCTTCCTCAAACCACCACTCCGCTACCGTATCATATGAAACCCACTGTTGAACTGCCTGCGTCGTTAACTTTTTCTTCGTCTAAGGTTGCTGTCTCTTAGCTGACCGCATGATATCCACTACTGAATTAATCTCGATAAAATAAAAACAAAAATAATTGAGTAAAAACGACTCATTTGAAATCAAATTTTATTTTACCAAATTAATGAAATAATTAACAATATAAATAATGATATTTTGAGAGGTATAGGAAATTAAAAAAAAAAAAAAAAAAAAAAAAAAAAAAAAAAAAACAGCACTCAATGGCCACCAAAATCTCCGGATACCAATCCGTTAGACTATTGTGTCTGGGGTATTTTTAAAAGAAAGGTTGGCACTAAAAAATAACAAAGTGTCGATCACCTCAAGCAAGCGCTTCGACGGGAATGGGCCAAAATTCCGCAGAGCAACATTCGGGCAGCGTGTGTTGTTTCATTGGCCGTTTGAAGGCCATAATTCGTGCCAAAGTTGACCAATTCGAACAAATCTAAACTTATTCTAAAATTTTATGCTATTTCCGAAATTTTTTGCGTTCATTCAATAAAATTAAAAAAAAAAACAAAAATGTAAAAATTATGGCGTTTGACTTTGTTGCAGTATTATTATACCCTCCACCTTGGAAAGGAGGGTATATTAACTTTGTCATTCCGTTTGTAACATCCCTAAATATTCGTTTTAGACCCCATAAAGTATATATATTCATAATCAGCATAAAATTCTAAGTCGATTTAACGATGTCCGTCTGTCTGTCTGTCCGTCTGTCTGTCTGTCTGTCTGTCCGTCTGTCTGTCTGTCTGTCTGTTGAAATCACGATACAGCCCACATTATTTGACGTAGAGCTCCAAAATTTAGCAGAGCTATTTGCATTGTGTCTAGGATGGTTGGTATTGAAAATGAGATATATCGGTCCACGTTCTGGTATAGTCCCCATATAACGGTACCTCCCGATATTCGGTATTTTGATGATTTATGCCACATTTTTTCACGGATTTGTCTTAAAATTGGTATTTGTAGGTCATAGCGGGTCCCTGAGCGTGTGGCAAAACATTGCATGTATAGGTCCACGTTGTGGTATAGCCCCCATATAAAGGTACCTCCCGATATTTAGTATTTTAGTTTTTTTTTACCACATTTTTTCACGGATTTGTCTGAAAATCGGTATTTGTTGGTCATAATGGGTTCCAGCTCCGGTGGCGAAACATTGTAATTATAGGTCCACGTCTTGGTATAGCCTCCATATAACGGTACCTCCCGATATTCGGTAATTTGATGATTTTTGCCACATTTTTTCAGGGATTTGTTCGAAAATTGGTATTGTTGGTCATAATTGGTTCCAGCTTCGGTGGCGAAACATTGCATGCATGGGTCCATGATTTGATATAGCCCCCATATAACGGTACCTCCCGATATTCGGTATTTTGATGGTTTTTGCCACATTTTTTCACTGATTTGTCTAAAAATTGGTATTTGTGGGTCATAATGGGTTCCAGCTCCGGTGGCGAAACATTGTAATTATAGTTCCACGTTTTGGTATAGCCCCCATATAACGGTACCTCCCCATAATCGGCATTTTAATGGTTTTTGCCACATTTCTTCTAATGTTTCTTTTACCCTAAGGTGGAGGGTATTAAAAGTTTGGCCCGGCCGAACTTAATGTTTTTTTACTTGTTTTTATCTCACGCTGTATTTAGGTCCAAACGACGCACGGGTATTATTGGCAAATATGTATCATGTAATGATAAGATGTCTAAACTATAGATTTATTTTTTAAATAATTAATGTGTCAATATAGTATTGTGAATAAAAGACAAGTAAAAAAGCAATAAGATCGGATGAATAATGTCGATAAAATCATCGAAATACCGAATATCGAAGGTATTGTTAAATGGTAGCTTTACGAAGACATGGACCTACATACGCAATTTTTTGTCATACGCTGTAGTAGCCATTACGAACTTTGAAAACCAGTAAGGGAAGCTCAAAAGTCGGGCGGGGTCGACTATATGATACCCTACACCACTATGCATATTTAGTAGAGCTCTCGTAAAAATGGTTTATATTGGACATTTCTGAGCTCTATGAGATATCTGGTACAAAATATGATTATGGTAGAGTGCATATTCCGAAAGTTAGAGATTTAAACACCAAATCGCATGAAACATATATAGCTAGAGCTATATCTGAACCGATTTTCACCAAGTTTTAAATGTTAATTTCTAGAATGAATTCGCTCGGAGGTGCAACGTTTCACTCACTTTGGGCTGAATTTAGCCATTTGGATCACAAGAAACCTAAAATCGGACGAAGATATATAGGGAAGCTATATCCAAATCTGATCCGATCTTGATAAAATTTGAATCATGTATTGCTAAGCTGAATCTAATATCTGGTACCAAATCTCATTTTTATGGGGTATATATTACGAATGTAAGGGACTTAAACACCAAAATCGGATGAAACATATATGTATATGAGAGCTATAGCTATATCTGAACCGATTTCCACCAAATTTAAAGTACTTATTTCTATACTAAATTCGGTCGGAAGTGCCAAAATTCACACTTGACTGATATTAGCCATTTTGTGCACAAAAAACCTAAAATCGGGTAAAGATATATATGGGAGCTATATCCAAATCTGGACCGAACTTGATAACATTTGATCTATGAATTGCTAGGCTGTATCTGATATCTGGTGCTAAATATCAGTCTTGTGAAGTGCATATAACGAATGTAAGGGACTTAAACACCAAAATCGGATGAAACATATATATGGGAGCTATAACTATATTTGAACCGCTTTTCACCAAATTTGAAGCACATGTTTGTAGGCTGAATTGCACATGAAACCTAAAATCGGATGAAGATATATAGAGGAGCTATATCTAAATTTGGGCCGATTTTCACCAATTTCAATAGGGTTCGTCCTTGAGCCAAACAAATGCTATTTAGAAAATTTTACCTCAATCGAATAATACAAAAACACATGGACAGACGGACGGACATGCATAAATCGACTCAAAATGTGATTTTATGCTGATCACCAAAGGTCTTTCTCGTTTCCTTTTGCCTGTTACAAACAAATGCACTGAAGAAATATATATACCTATACCACATAGTCGTAAGGGTATAATGAAGCAATTTCGGTCTATAATGTCTCTAATACCATTGAAAATTCCGAATTTCGGGAGGTACCGTTATATAGGGGCTATATTAAGACGTGGACTTGTATAAATATTTTTTATAACCTCCACATAATAATTTTAGACCTCACAAAGTATGTATATTCCTGATCAGCGTAAAATTCTGAGACGATTTCGTTCGTCAGTCTGTTGTAATCACACTAGAATCAAAACGAATTAAGATAGGAAGCTGAAAGTTGGCACATATCAGTCTTTTGTCTGCAGGCGATATTCGGTATTGCCATGATTTTAGCCACATTTTACCATATAACGGTACCCCCGATATTCGGTATTTTGATGATTCTAGTGACATTTTTGACCGGAATTGTTTCAAATTTCGCATTTAAAGTTTCAGGCCTGCAATGAGTATTACAACCTATGCAGGTCCACGTTTTCATGATTTTTTGAAATTCTTCAAGATCCTTCGAAATGGTTGGGGATATTAAAAGTTGAGTCCGGCCGAACTTAGCCGTTTTTAACTTATTTTCGTAGGTTCTAGTACCCATTAAGACCTTCCAATACGAAATTTAATACAATTCCGCTGAATAATGGGGCTAATATCATCAAAGTACCGAATATCCGGAGGTAACGTTATGCGGGGGCTATACGAAAAAATGTCCCATTTACGAAGTTAACCTGCCTACTTGCAAAATACACATGCGTGCAAAAGTTTAGCCTTCTACCTTAATTCGTTCGACGCAAACATTTTGGCCGCAGACCTTGGAAATTCCAAAAGAACTCAGCACGCGCCACCCAAGAATGATTACAAAATGAGTTTCATCGCTTCATTCCCAGCACACAATGGCCATCAAACGGATACTATTGTGTCTGGAGTATTTTGAGAAGCAAGGTTGGCACTAAAAAATACCAAAGTGTCGATCACCTAAAGCAAGCGCTTCGCAGGGAATGAGCCAAAATACCGCAGAGCAAAATTTGGGCAGCGTGTGACGGTTTCATGCGAGATTTCGTGTCCTTTGGTTTCTATTTGTGACCTATATAACTGCTGCGAAATCAGGAACATTTTTAGTTGTTAGTCCATTTCAACCCCTAAGTATATTCCGAATATCTTTGAAAACAATAGGCCTAACCCTACCCTTGTGAAAATTTTCGTGCCGATCGGACGATAATTGCAATCTGTATATAATAACCCCAAGGTGAAAAAATATTACAAAATATGCACTTCAATAATATAAGTCAAATTAAAAAAAATCACATGCGATAAAAAATATGAAAAAATTTAAAAATGTCACAAAATACTACAAAATCTATATTAACATAGCATTCTGAATTTACAAAATTTGTAAAATTTGGTCCAACCATTCTTAAGATATAAGCATTTTTTTTTGTTTTTTTTTTTCGAACGTTCCCACGCCTCACATTCCCACCCCTGCCGACCGAGGGGGCGACCTCCCTTTACGGAGGGATCCCGTACACATCATGATCCGCATCATAATGGGAATTCAGTAGGAAATTGAAAACCAGCTACAGAATCTAATTCATCAGCTAGTTTGTCAAATAATAAAACATGTATGTTAATTGTTTAAAAATAAAATTATTCTGAATTTAATAACTTCTAAACTCATACCAAAATCTACATTACAATACACAGAATTAAAGTCAACTCACATTTTACTAAGAGGTTCGCCCATTGAATAATTCGTGCGGTGAAAATCAGTATATAATAATTGGTAGTATCTACTAGATCGAAACGGAACATTAAGTCTAATAGATGAGATTAGGAAATCTGAAGGTATATTACCATTTAATATTTTTAGTACAAACATGGAGTTCAACATAATACGTCTGCTTTTAAGTGTAGGCAATCTAATTAATTTTAGCCTGCTAGCATAAGAAGGCAAAACAAAATCACTATACCAATGTAAACCTCGTAAGGCAAAGAGCAGAAATTGTTTTTGCACGGATTCTATTTTATCTGAGTATATTGCATATTGGGGATCCCATACAACAGAACCATATTCCAATATAGGTCTAACAAGAGACGTAAATAACTGT